GAGGCACCTACGTGGCTCGAAGGGCAGTGAAGTCGTTGCTGTCATTAAGGAGCACTTTGCACTTCTCCACAAGGCCCTTGGTCACACTGTCCCCAGGATGCACCTTTTCCAGCTTCTGGCAGAGGTTGCGGAGATCGTTGCAGATGGAGATGAACATGTTGAGGATGCGCCTGTCTGTGGAATTGTAACAGTGGTGGTCCTTGTAGCACTGCACCTGCACAGGGGGAAACGCAGAGGTCAGTGATGCAGTTAAACTGCATTGAACTTGTGCTGCAAAGCTGCTCAAGCTTAGTGAGCAGAAGCTGCTTTCTCTTGTGGCTCTCAGGTGTGAGCCCCATGGATATTTCCCTGTCATTCCTCATGGGGAAGGCTGCATTAAGGGATCTGTCCATCAGCACACTGAGCCTGCCTCACCCTCAGAGGTGCACGAGTGCCACAGCCAAACCCAGCTGAGTCAGTGTGGGGTGTCTCCCTGCTCCCTCTGCCCCTGCCACAGCTGCCTGGGCAGAGCAGGCTGGGAAGTGAGGGCAGCCACCAAACTGGGGATGGTTTGGAGTGATGTGTTTGCATCATGCATCCTCTTTATTTGGTACATGGCTGCAAACTCAACCCATTTAACCCTAACTGCCCTGGCTAACCTGTTAGAGCAATGCTATTCCCTGCTGGCCCTGAGCAGTTGTGTTACTCAGAGTGATGGCATTGCATGAGGAAATGCCAAGTAGGTTCTCCAAAGAAATTACAGGCTCTTCAAAATAGAAAACTCTGAGTGGCTGGTTAGCAGCCAGAGCTGGGCACCAACAGCTCCAGTGCTTTCCCCTTCTGTCTCCTGGTGGTCTAAATTATAGTTTTAAGTACACCATGCTGTAAAATCTCCAAGACTATTCACTTACCAGCCCAGAAAACCCCTTGCCCACTTGGGACTTCCAGCCCTCAATCCATCATCCTCCCTCTCTAACACAGCCATTATTTTTAATAAGCACTATAGAAAGATAGTACAGCAGTACCAATACCAAGGGGGAAGAGCCAGGCAGGCTGGTTCCTATGAGCTGAGGATTACAGATTCCATGTGTGGCTGGGGAAGGAGGCTTGGTGTGATTGTTTTCTTGTACCCTGTGTTTCTGGCTGTGCCTCAGCAGTGTTAAAGGAAACAACAAAGTGCTGCTCAGCCATGAGATTCCTTCTGAGATAACAGGAGGCCTTCACACAGCTGCTTCTCTGCCCAGTTCTTCAGTTATACACAAACGGTACTGGAAATCTTTTGTCCATCTTCCCTTCAATAAAATGGGAATTTCTTCATTTCTTCATCCCTGAGCTGTCTCCAGGTTCAGGCCAGCCCCGTGTTCTCCCTGTTCTCACGGGCAGGGAGCACTTTGTGCTGAATTTTACCTGGACTATGGAAGACACAGGTTTGATCAAATCATGAGCTTCCTCCCTCGTGTGTTCCAGTGCTCTGATAAACGTGAACTGCTGCTGCTGGAAGAGCTTGTAGTCCTGCTCGATCTTTCTTAGAGTTTCCACTACCTCATCCATGTTGACTTATTTCTGGATCTGGGAGTGAAAAGGAGAAATTTTGCAATTCTGGGTCTCGCCTGAGATGGAATTGTCTTTTACTAGAAAACTGACAAAAAAAAAGAAGTAAAAGGCAGGAAAAAGAGGAATATGTTGTGTCGAAGGCCTGCAGTCCCAGAGCCCCAAGCAGTAAGTCAAGGAGTTGGTAATGATGCTGCAACAAGAGGCAGAGAAGCCAGAGGGGAGCGCTGAC